ATCTATCTATCTATCTATCTATCTATCTATCTATCTATCTATCTATCTATCTATCTATCTATCTATCTATCTATCTATCTATCTATCTATCTATCTATCTATCTATCTATCTATCTATCTATCTATCTATCTATCTATCTATCTATCTATCTATCTATCTATCTATCTATCTATCTATCTATCTATCTATCTATCTATCTATCTATCTATCTATCTATCTATCTATCTATCTATCTATCTATCTATCTATCTATCTATCTATCTATCTATCTATCTATCTATCTATCTATCTATCTATCTATCTATCTATCTATCTATCTATCTATCTATCTATCTATCTATCTATCTATCTATCTATCTATCTATCTATCTATCTATCTATCTATCTATCTATCTATCTATCTATCTATCTATCTATCTATCTATCTATCTATCTATCTATCTATCTATCTATCTATCTATCTATCTATCTATCTATCTATCTATCTATCTATCTATCTATCTATCTATCTATCTATCTATCTATCTATCTATCTATCTATCTATCTATCTATCTATCTATCTATCTATCTATCTATCTATCTATCTATCTATCTATCTATCTATCTATCTATCTATCTATCTATCTATCTATCTATCTATCTATCTATCTATCTATCTATCTATCTATCTATCTATCTATCTATCTATCTATCTATCTATCTATCTATCTATCTATCTATCTATCTAATCTATCTAAAATTATGTACTTGGTTAAGTAAAATGGAATTACAGTAAAATCTCATTCACTGAACTAAATTACACTAAGGACTGCTACTGCGAATAAAACCAAGTTGTGTTTTTGGCTGGTTCCAAGAAAATGAATAAGTTGATTGACATAAATGCTAAGTACATTCTAATCTGAAATCAATTTTTGTAGTATCAGTCAAGTATTCAAGAAGAAAACTAACTTTTTAATAACTTGTAACTACTTTACTTTACTTGTACTTTACGCAGGGCTGATAACTAAACACAAAATGATATGTTCTCTTTTGATATAACAACTTAAGACGCAATAACTTATTAACGTAGGAGTTTTGAACATGGTTAACTACACACAGCAACTCTTCCGATGCAAACTTTCGCAGTGTCTCCGCATTGACTCCGAAAACCATGCCCGTGCCAAGCATGTGCTTTGCCGTTGCCGGTCCGGTTGTCGGGTTCCTTGCACGTCTAATGAGAATCGGGCTTAATTGTTTTGTATTTAAAAAATGGAGTTAGTAATTTGGCAGCTGCTGTCATATACAAAATATTTTATTTTTTGTTAAAGATATAATTCTTACACATTTAGATTAAAAACAATCAAGATAAAAATAAAAATAATACAAAAATCCAAAAAAGAGTAATAAATCGATTAATATTGCAAAATCTTAATTTTTGATTGGTTCAAAGTCCGCGTTTATTGATTTATCACTAATTTTGATTTAAACGAAAGTACTTAATTAATAATTGTTATCTACACAAGCATTGATGAATTAATAATTCTTGTAAATACATAGTGATGTCAACACGATGATTTTAATTCAACATTTTACCAATAATCCGTATAGTGTGTTTCAGTAAAAATTCAAAACGAGTTGTTTTATTCCTTTGCGCAATTTTTGATATAGTTAATATAGCTGTTGTGTGTAAAAATAATAGAATTTACCATTTAATTAAATTATAATTATTGCTGGTTTTGAAAAGAGAAGAAGGTTATGAATAGGATATTTACAATGAAAACATAACTTAATAAATAATACTATTATCGTCAAAATACTTGCCCTACTGTAATTTTAATATTTATTTTTTTATATCTATTATCGGATCATTGTTTAGACATTCTCTACTTTCCTATCATCTTGTAAAAAGGGCTATAATAAAAAATTCATTGTGAAAAGATCTCTATTTAATAATTTTTTACTATGATACAGATAAGTAGTTTAATTTCACTAAAAGGTCAGGTGAGTTCGGTGAATATCACAATTGCATAATTGAATATAATACGGAACTAAGAAGGGCAAAAAGAGAAACGTTGAGAGGTGTTAGAACAGGCTGCATAAATGTCAAGGTTCTATAAAGTTTTTACTAAAAATTCTTAGATAAGTATATTTTTACTCAAAAAGTAGTCAGGCTAATATACTCGGAATGGTGAAAAGAATCTGAAAGAACTTTTGAGGTTGCACCTTACTGAGTCTGAAACCAAAATCATATCTCTAGATATATGGCATCATACTGGACTGGAGAACGTAACTTATAGTTCCAAGTTATATGACTGTATGTTGAAGAGCTGTACGATATTACTAGAGGGTATATACACTGTCAGTACAAATAGCCAGAGAGTGTTCGCAGGAAGGAGTCTTATCCCCACTCTTGTGAAATTTAGTCATCGATGAGTGATGCTAGTCTCAGCACCGACAGACATTATGTTCAGGGCTATGTAGAGAACTTGGTCAAATTAACCAATGGTAAATTGGAAAATATAATGGCATGTTTAGAGATGGAAGAAAATTACTATATTTACATGATAAAAGGTTCCAGAGGAATCTTGTATCAGGTAACTTAAAGATATACATTGTGGTGTCCTCTCGTAGTAGTCACTATCCGGGTAGCTTTTAGACAGTCAGAGACAGAGTTCAAAACAAAAATAAAACTTTATTATCTTCCTTAAATTAAATTGACAAAAATCTTATGTACATATTTACAATTTGGTTTAGTCTTCTCAGTACCTGGCCTATTTATTCAAATTAAGTTTGACCTTGTCATATGAAATTAGTTTTATCGGCAAGCGAATGTGTATTTGAAATTTTACGGGAACGTTGTATCGATTTAATAACAACGGACGATAGGTATAAAGGAAGGAAAGGAACTCAACACGTCCCTTAAGTGATTCGGGTTAACAGGACACTCCTCGACAGTCTCAACACGACTGCTTCAGAGTATGGGTAGTGAAGAGATCAACACGCTCTTCGGGTAACGGCGGTATGGGACGGAACAACTTGTGAACTCAACACGTCCACAAGCCGGGGTAGGGAAGAAGACAACCTTCAGTCAACATCTGTCGATTCTCCCTCTATGAGGAAATGTTGCGGTTTATATAGCGGATCTTGGTAATTAGTTTTGCCCTTTCTACTGTCGATATACTTCCTGCTTCATGGGTTGGTTCGCGCGCACGCTAGTTTAACGGTGATGGCTTGGACTCATCGTTACACCCTCTCTTCCTGGGGAAAAAAAAATTTTGGAACAAATTTTTTTTTTATTTTTATTCCTTGCCAGGTACTTGGTTACCCTAAAAAAATTTACAATACATAAAATAAAATGTCCGCCCTAAAAAAAATAAATATCGTCTTCTTAAAAAAAAATCGTCTTCCTCTCTCTTAAAAAAAAATCGTCTTCCTTCGTGGGCTTCAATTATTGGTTTTATCCTCAGCACCCGGCTCGGGAGTCTCAGTCTGTATTTTTTTCCTTTATGCTGCGGCGGAATTAGTGAGAGCAGCATGATTGACACTGGAATTGACTGGACTTTCTGAATTTTTGTGATGCCCATGGTTGGTGTTTCGTTGACCCTGGAATTGGTCGGTATTCGGTTATTGTCTGCATTGTACGATCTGGATCCGTGTTCTGTCCTGGTTGGGTATTGTTCTCTCCTTCTTACGCGATTTCTATTTAATATGTTTGATAAATCAAGGCCCCATCTTGTTATTTCATGCATTCCCTGTACTACTTCTGAAGCTAGGTTTGGTAAAAAATGTAGCTTGGCTTTTCTCCAAACGTTGTCTATGGAACATTTTGCTGTAAAACAGATTTCTATGTTGCTGGTTTTTCCATCTGCCAGCGTGATCTTTAAAGCTTTTCTGTCGCTTCTTGTTCCACATTGTTCCAATATTTTTTTACCTTTTTGTCCTATAAACGAATTTTGGGCTCCTGTGTCTATTAGTGCTTTTAACTTTTTACCGTTGCTGAACGTTATCGTTGTGTGGGGTCGTTGATCTGTATAGTGTGCGTAGCTGGAGGTTGTTAGGGAGGACTCTAAATGCTGACTGGGTTGCCTCCTTCTTGTCCAGTCCTGTTTGGAGTTTTCCGGTCGGCTTCTACATTGGCAGTTATCGGAAGTTGTTCGGGTTCCGCAATGGCTGCAGAAGAGTACAGCGATAGCTCTGCATTTGCCTGTGTCCAGTCACACCTTGTATTGTTTCTGTTATATATTTCTTTTTGGACCATATCATATTCTTCCGCTAGTCTGATGATGTCCTGTGTTAACGATACGTCTTGCCTCTTTATATACAACTTGTATTTCGGGTTCATATTGGTGTATATCCTGTTTAGTTCTTCTTGGTGATTGAATTCACCATGTCTTCTGATCATTGTTTGAATATCAATGATGTAGTCTTTTACACCTTAGTTGTTTCGTTGGAGTCGGTTCCGGATTTGAGCTTCCAGAGATTGCGTAAGAACGGAGGAAACGAAGAAATTGCGGAAATCTTGTTCGAAGTCTTTAATTTCGTTCCAACATTTATTATTGTTTCTGTACCATAGTAATGCTTTCCCGTTTAATGTTTCTGGATAATGGCTTCTGGTTTAGATTCAGAGTATAGGTGGTAACACGCTCTTCGGGTAACGGCGGTATGGGACGGAACAACTTGTAAACTCAACACGTCCACAAGCCGGGGTAGGGAAGAAGAGAACATTCAGTCAACACCTGTCGATTCTCCCTCTATGAGGAAATGTTGCGGTTTATGCGGTTTCTACTGTCGATATACTCCTACTTCATGGGTTGGTTCGCGCGCACGCTGATTTAACGGTGATGGCTTGGACTCATCGTTACAACATCAAGCCAATAAATTAAGTATATAAGTATAGTTTTGGAGCCCGAAACCAGTCGCCCAAATTAAAATTAGACCAATTAGTTTCTATTTTTTACCTATTTAAAATTGACATATACAAACAATTCATCATTTAATAATGCTTTATCTATATTTCAGTTTTCGATGCCACTTCCAAGTTTCCTTGGAGTGGACTTGCCGTTGGCTCGTATGCTGATTTTGGAAATTATCCACAATGCATGCAAATAAATCATATTTACTCAGGAGGAAGAATAAAGGGAAAATACTGTTTATTTGGATTAGTGATACCATCCTTGACAGCGAATTTTAACAATATTAATTTGGATGTAAGTATTGACAATAATAAAATACAGAGTGTGCAACAGTCAACTTTTATGTTCCTAAATGTTCATAGATTAAATGTTTTGTTTATCGAATGACACAGGTTTGATAGATTGTTGTCAAACTTGGCCGAAATGAACTTATAAACGGCCCATAGGCTTATGGGCCCTTTTTCCGAGGATGGCCTCAATTATTATAGTTTTAGTCTTCGTCACTATCTTCGTTTATTACGGGGTCAGTATCTAATGTGATAAATAAGTCTGAAAGTATTTTGGCTGGTCTAATAATTTTCATTATACATATTATTAAGGAAACTACTTATTATGGTTTCGAACTTATTTCTACCTTGTTTAAATTGGTTTCATTAACAATTAATTTAGGATTAAAATCAAATTTTAGGATTTCTTCAAACTATCGGTATGCATACCAGACGCTTGTTCTGCAGATGATTTCAATAAAATAATTATTTTACCTTTATTTAACGATCAAAATTGTCATACGCAAGATGATGTAGATAGATATACTCCAGGAGACAAAGCTATACTGTAAGTATAATTTTTATTACAATATTTTACTCTTACTCGGTTCAAATGTGATTCCGTTAAATACTGAATGAGTTCAAAAATATTAGAACACAGCAAATAAACTTTATTTTCCTTTTTAATTTGAAATCTAATGATTTATTAATTATGACAGCATATCTTTGATATAGACCTAAAGATACATATCTACACTTACCATCAAAAGTTTTAAATAGTTGATTTTGTTTAACTCACACGCGCTGATGCAAAAACAAAATAAGATCACAATACAACGTCACTTCGCCTGCTACATCTGCGCATGAAAATGTAGCAGGCGAAATGTAATTGTAAAAATGTTTATAACTAATTATCGCAGCAAAATTGAGTATTTTCATTGTGAAATTCGGAATCAGCGCATAGAAAAGCCCCAAAAACCTAACCCTGGACAATAAAGTTCACGGGAATCGAGTAAGCTGTTTTGGCTCTTCGGAATATTGTGACATGCTTCTTAGTCACGAATCGTCGGATCTCAGAATGCTGAACTAATTAGCTTAATTCCTAAGTATATGTATTCCTTGAAACTTAAAATTTTTTCTGGTCTAGGTCCAATTTTCCGTAGATTTTTTTCTTCCTACATTTAGATACAAAGTTTTTCTTTTCATCTTGATATATTTTAAATCTTCCTTGTCCTGGGCAATAACAACTTAATCATCTAAGTAATGTAATGTATAGAGTATTGTATCACCTATTGGTGATACAATACTCTACATGCCCTTACATTTCGTTTACACTGTCTCAGGTCCTTATCAATGTATATAGTGAATAATACTGGAGATATACAGCATTTCGATCTGAGTACACTTGTAAACGGGAAGCCTTCCGATATTGCCCCATTTTTCAGTTTTCTCCAATTCCCATAGCGTATTAATGGGTACTGTGTAAATAAGTACTTACATTGTTATTTAAAAACAAAATTCCTCAAGAATGGAGATCAACCTAATACTTCTCTTCAAAAAGGGAGACAAATCGGACCCGGAAAATTACAGAACAATTAATTTATTAATCACAACACTAAAATTAACAACCAAAGTGATAACAACCTGCATATCTGTCTCGTGGACCTTAAGAAGGCCTTCTTAAGAAGATCAGGTTAAATTCAAGGACGTTATCTACTTATTGTACCTACCAAAACAACACAATAGAAGTAAAAGTAGAAGAAGAACTAACCGACCCTGTTAAAGCTGGCAATGGGATAAGACAGGGAGATTCCCTGATGCCTTTATTGTTCAACCTGATTATGGATAAAATAATAAAACAATTCAAACAGGATCCCAAATGGGAGAAAAACAACTTAAAATAATCTGCTATGTAGACGACGCATTACTACTCTTTCAAAGTGAAGATGATTTACAACGTATGCTGCACCGATTTAATATAAACGCCAGAAAATGTAGTTAATTACCCCAAAAAAGAAAAATGCATAGTTATAACAGAATTTACTAATTCTGTGGGTACTAATAATTAAACAAGTGGTGGGATATAGAGCAAACAGAGACTCGGGTTGCATTAATGAAACAATATGGAGAAATAAAAATATCGAGAAAGAAATGAAAGGCAGAATTTACAAAACAGCCATCAGACCAATAATGTCATACGCAACAGAAACATGATCTGACACAGAGAGGAAAAACAGGAGGTTAGAAACAGAAGTGATGAAAACACTTTGAATGGAAAAATTGATGGTATGACAATACAGATCTGGGACAGATACGACGTAGATGCAAGGTGGAGAACATCTAGAACTGGGTAATTAATAGAAGAGTGGAATGGAACGATCATATAAACCGAATGACAACAAATAGAGTAGTAAAGACGACAAGAGACGGTTCCCCAATATGAAGGCGATCAGTGGGAAGACCACGAAAACGATTGAACAAATTACTAGAGGCACGTTAAAAAACAGAAGAGTCATGTCTACATAAAAAAGAAGAAGACGATTGTTATTTTAGTAAATGTAATATTTTTGCTTAATATTTAAATATTTGTTATTGTTTTCATATTTTTAGCGTAGTGCTGTCAATTTTTGCAATTATTCTAACTGTATCAACTAGCTACGATGTGTATTTGGTGAAAACTGGTAAAAGTAAGTATAGTTTAAATATTGATAACATTATACATGGTACAGTATATATGTTTATTTCAGAGAGTGCCCATCCTTTATTTTTGGCCTTCTCAATTTATACAAATAGCCGTAAAATAATAGCAACAACCAAAAAAAATAGGGAACAGATTCAAATTTTTAATGGAATAAAATCTATTAGTATAGCTTGGATCATCGCTGGCCATGGATTTAACGGTTGGTTAATTAACGTATCTAACAATGATTATGTTAAAAAAGTAAGTAGCTGTTTTTTATTTACAAAATAAAAGAGATACTCAAATGGTAGGCTGTATACAATAGTTTAAAAAAAAACTTACAAAGAAGTAAAGACTTTTGCTGTATGATGGTATATTTTTATTATTATTATTTAATTTATCCCAAATGATCACAATCAACTTCATCAAAACGTTTTTGCTTTAGTCAGAGCATCATCAACGAAACATATTGTGAGTAGTTGAAACTAGCTACTCATCCAGGTATAAAAACCTTTAGATAACATGAAAACCATATTTTATTATAAAATTTTTATGACACAAGGTCGATGTTATAGGATATCCCTTTAAGGCTTATCCTCGAAAATTGTAACGGTAAATTTCAGTTTGCTATCTCTATTTCAAAAATTTCTTTCTTTACGAAAACAAATCTGTCATGATTCAAATCAAATCTCTCAAGCCCAGGTCAAAAACGCGTTTACCTTTTACTCGAGCCGATTATACACCGAGACAACCCCTGCAGTGACAGGTCTTGGCTTACAATAAGACCATAAATCTCTTTAGTGGCGTTTTGAGTAAATATAATAACAGATCAAAGTAATAGAATCTATTCATAAATTTACAATGTAACAAATGTACATACATAATTTATTTGTTATTTTTTTTACGGAAAAATTGGCTGTCTGAAGTTTAACGTAGATTAAAGTTTACGGAAAATAAAAATTATAAAAAAAGATTATTATTATATAGATATCATAAAAATTTGATTAGTATCACGATCATTAAAATTGATAAAATGAAACGATATAAATATAGAATTATGTCTAATGTTTCTTCAGAAGGTGTTTCAAATAAAAATTATAATAAAAATCTTATCTAATTAGTATCACGATCATTAAAATTGATAAAATGAAACTATATAAATATAGAATTATGTTTAATGTTTCTTCAGAAGGTGTTTCAAATAAAAATTATAATAAAAATCTTGAAATTTTTGTAGCATATTTTCCCACAGATCCATATATTTATCAATCTTTTCGAATAAAATATTTTTTGGGGTCCATACCGCAAACTAACAGTATTCTCCATTCGATATAAATAACAAAATAACTGTCCTTGCACTGGATAGTAATAGAAATCAGTTCTTTTTAAAATTTCCTGAAGGAAGGAATAATTTAATTACGTTTCCAATTTTGATTTTTGATATTGAATTTGATAGGTTGTGATTTATTACACCAAAATCTAATAAAATATACCATGACACAAGAAATAGTTTCAGAATAAGTTTGAAGTGTTGTTTAATATCATTCAGTAAGAGACTAATTTACTTCTTACCATGCTAATCTAACAGACAATTAATATTATCAAATGAAAGAAATAAGATCATTTACTTGTGTGCTTGTGGTTAGTAAACGTCGGCCATATGCAACTAATTGTTAATAAAGAACGGAGTACAAAAGTTTAGATTTATGAGATTTATGAGGAGCATTAATGAAACTTATGTATACTGAGTACTTATTTCAAAAATGTATAACTAAGGATTTAATTTGTTATATGTAAATATACTCCTAGATCTAGAGAAAATGGGAGTGCGACAATGGGAATTACTGGCACAGGACCCACAAACATGGAAGGCAATAGTAACCGCGGCAAAGACTTACGAAGAGTTGTAGCGCCATTGATGATGATGATGATGATGAAATATACTGTATAACTATTTATATGGATGTGAAATATGGATCATGAAGGATAATATGATTGGCATTTTAGGATGTACGTTGAAAAATTAAGGCAAATGTCGAGCACAAATTTAATAATCAAATCTTGCAAAAGTACTTTCGCCTTCTACAGCATCATCAGGGGCATCTGAAATAAGCAAAGAAAAGTTTTTTTAAATGAAGAAAGTTAATAAACTTCGATAAAAAACTCGAAGTTAATGGATGATAAAAGTTTTTTGTTATTAACATTTTAGACTTACTTCGTCATATTTGGGCTATCCAGCAAGCGCAGATGCCCCTGATGATGCTGTAGAAAGCGAAAGTACTTGGGCAAGATTTAATTATTAAATTTGTGCTCGAAATTTGCCTTCATTTTTTAAAGTTCGTTTATTCGAGCATTCAACCTTATATCAATAATTTAAGATGTGACTCAGGTATATGATAAAGTATGGCAAAGACGCCATAACTATAAACTAAGACTACATTTACCAAAACGATACTCTCAAATAATTGACTCCTGCATCTTGGAAAGATATTTCAGAATTAAACAGGAAGAAACATACATGGAATTGACAGATATTACAGCAGGGCTGTCACAAAGAAGTGTCTTTACCTTTTGTATACGTGTTGTATTATTGTCCTAGAAAATATACAATTGCAATATTTACCGAAGATATTGCTATCATAGCAATGTGCAAAACCAGCAAGGAAGCGACAAAGAAATTACACAGATGTTAATCAAATATATACTCCAGGGAAATAAGCAAAAAATAGACCACGTTCGTGACACTCAATAATCCAGGTCGCTGACAACTTTTTTAGTTATTGTAGACCTCTAGGAAAAAAACCTACTTGTTTCTTGCCTTGAATCTGGAGCTGTTTTTTAATTATTGACAATTTAATGCAAAAAACGCGACTGTTTCTATAATTATT